TCGAAACATTTCAACTCTAGGAGGATTTAAGAAGGCCGTACGAACAGAGTTAATCAATAGACAGAATTAATTTTTAATAGTCCTCGTAATATACAGTTGTAATTCTAGTTTAGCTACAGACAATCTATCTTTTTAACATAAGTTCTAAATAATTGCATGTAAATATCATATTACTACACTTATTTGTAAATTAGTTATGAAAAGCCCTTATGGGGATTAACTAATAAATCATATTGTATTGTATTGTATAGTGGCCAAAGTTCATTTTCAATGCCATCAACATCGTTTAGTACAGTGAGTCAGAATAGGGTAAATGAGAATTTCAGGCAAGATAAACAATATATCGGATATTCCATATATATAAACATAAAATATAAATTTTTTATAATTGTCGATGGAATGATCCTGAACATCCTTCCATTTCTTGCTTGGTTGTACTGCAGTAATCCCCAAGCCGACGGCGCGAAGCGCCGTGCGAGGGTACTAATTCCCCCCCGGCTATTTACACCCGGGGAAACGAAAGCATTAGCGAAGTCTAAAGTTCATCAAATATCGCGGGCGTGGGTCACTGTGCGTGGGTGGTCATCCTCACTGATCTCAAAAATATGGCGGACTGTCATGAATATCGAACACTGTGATTGGTCCAATTTAAAGTTTGCATTATAACGACTGTATGACGACAGCGAAATAGCAAACATTTCTTGATTTGATCAAAGATTATGATTTGATGATTGATAAATTTCTTGCGAATATATTTCATTGTTGCTCGCATTTTTGCAAGATTTTGTAAATTTCAAGAAAGAAAGGGCGAAAGAATCGGCTAAAAGAAGGGAGCCGACGTTAACGAAGGTAAGTTTGTTTTAAATATTGATTTTATAATTGCTTTAAAACCCGACGGCCTTTGCGTATATGAAACAACTAAACAAGACAGCATATCATTTCATTGTATCTTTAATATTGATTCCCTTTTTTATTATATTGAATTTTTTAAATAAATAAAAAAGAAAGCAAAGTTATTTGCATGCGAGAATTTGAAATCATTTTATTGCAAACTCAAAGTTTATCGATAAAGCCATTTAATTAAAGGCAGTTTTATAGTTTTATAAAGAACACTTTAAAACGTTTTGCGAAGCGTTTGTGGTTGAATTTTACCTTAAATTGAAGCTTATATTACGTATAATATCATACCTAACATATATATGTTGGGAAATTGATAATTTTGTAATTAAAAGTGATATTTTTAGGCGATTTTTCGGTTGTAAGAATATTCTTAAAGGTGATCTACAGTCCATATGTAAACAAATCCTTTGTTTACATTTTGTGTCCAAAATATTGAGCTTTATTCGACAACTATTTATATTTTCAAGCTTCTAGAGTATAATAAATGATCAAGAAACAACAATCAGGCTTTTCAAGAACTCAAAACATAGTTAAACTGTTTGTATCATAAAAAGTGGGCTCATTTGTGCACATGCGCAGATCGGACTGTAGATCACCTTTAAAAAATTATCGTGTTACCATAACAACTACTTTGGATACTTCATGTTCGGAAAATATAATGGTTTTGTCAGCAAGGCGAGGGCACAGAATAAGGCACACAGAAGGCAACCTCGTTCCCAGGGCTTTTCCCTTTTTGTCATTGGGAAGGCGGGAAAAGGCCCTGGCACCGGCCGGTCTTCTATGTATTCTGATTGGTCAATGACAAGCACATTATTATGCAAATAATGCAATCTTGGATTAATTTATTCAAACTTTGGGATAAATTAACATTCTCACGCAAGGAGTGTCCATTATTACTTTGTCCGTCTAAGACATATTTTTGGCAAAATCTGTGGCAAAATGGTTAAATTCGATAAGATTTATACACAATTTGTCGAAGGTTAGTATTATTGTTTGTTTTAAACTGTGAGAGAAGATTAATTGTGTACTAGAACACACCTGGCTCTGACGAGTATTTAGCATTTTAGGGCAAAATGTGCCTTCATTGGCTTGGTATAGCGTTAATGTTTATATTTATAAAACTATTAAAAGTCTGGGTTTATAAACTGAAACATGACCTTTAGTTTTTGATATTCTTCATAGTAGAGTTTAAATTGGCCTAATTTATAGTTAGTTACCACTAGAAATGCGACGATATTTTGTTATATCATATATGCAACAGTGTTTACAACTTTTGAATAATATGAGATTTGGTTTTGTTGCAGATACTATTACATGTTGCTTCATTTTACCATAAATTGTGTTAAAAAGGTGATTTGCTCATTTGGCTGATGTTACAGTTTTCTGATGTGTTTTGTTTGGATGATATTAGAACAATTTCAATATGAAAGTGCAGGTGTCTTTAGGCATGAGCCATAATGTATATATCAAAATACTGATAAAATCCGCTTCCAACTTTATTGTATTTGCATTGTTGCAGACAAAGTTGTGCAATGGTGGGCTTATGTCACATATTCGTATGTAATTCCATGTTGACTTTGATGCCTCAAGAGATGCTTCGAACGTGTAATGAAGGGCTGTTCGCAGGAGTTGGACTGTCTGGCCTTAAATTGCATTGTTTTTTTTATGATATTTTAAGGTCGCGGTCACACTAGCGCTTGTGCTTGCAGATTAGCAAAGGATTAGCGAGCTTGCTTGTGACGTCATTCAAGCAAGTGCTGGAATGTTAAGCAAGCACGTCGCGGTCAGACTGAAAAAGTACTTATGCTTGCTTAAGATTGTAATGACAGATAAAGTAAGTGTCTTTGGTTTTTGGTAAATTTACATTACGCAATTCTTCATTATATAAATATATGTAGACTTAAAATGGACAGAGATTCTTTGCTTTTATTTCATTTTATGTATCAACGTTTTCGCGAAAAACGAAGAGCGCTTATAATCGCAGAAGGCGACGAATGTGCCTTTTGCTTCACCAAATGAATCAAAACATGCGACGCTTGCAGATGCTTCAGGCGACAGCAATTATTGCTTCTTATCGCGACCGCCAGAGTGGTCAACCCAAGAGTTGATCGTGAGTTTTGGGTTATTCCTAGACCAGGAGTTGGATCGCACTTTCTTTGTTTTGCTTTCGGTTCGGAGTTGAATCCATTCTGATTTTTTAGAATACGAAAGATAGTGCGACTGCCTGCAATACGTGTGTCTGTGTTTCGAAATTGGCGCGTTAATGCAATTTTTGGTCTTATCAGGATTTCTAATGGATACTTAAACAGGGAGCGTTTTTATTGGTCGCGTTGTATAAATCCTCTTGAGATATGCATTCTAGCACGGTTCAGTCACCGTCCCTACCATGCTTGAATCTTGCTGCGGTACTTTTGTAGTTTCAAGCAAAATGTATCAAGTTTCAAGCAAGCTCGGATTATGCGTTTTACGCGGTCACACTATCAAACGTGCTTGGAGGCTGACCTGTTGACAGATTCAAGTAGATTACGTTCAAGTAAGCACGATTCTAGCACTAGTGTGACCGCGGCCTTAGTGTGGCGAACTTTAAGACATACAGTATAAAATAAAGAATGATAGCAATTTCGCGTGACATCATAAAACAGCATGAGTCTGTTATTAATAATAATACAGTAACACTGTTGTAGCTGATAGCTCGTTAATGTTCGTTGGAAGTTTTGCATCTCAGTTTTTTTGCTCAAAAATATGTCTAGCAACGAGGAAAATCATTCTGAGAATACCCAGGAGACTGAAGAATATAATCCCGACAATGAAGAAGTATCAAACGTCGAAAATAACCTATATTTAGATGATATATCGCCACAATCAGATGTCACATTTAATGCAAACGATACCCAAAATTTAGAACATGCTTCGTCGAGGTAAAGTTGCAAATTAATACCTTTAAATGATTCTAATTGTTCGACTTTAAAATAACGAAAAATAGAAAGCTATTTCTAGTAAAAGTGTAAGGTTTATTAATATACGAATGCCGTCTAGACTAAATATATTTTTGCCGCAAAATGCGACTCGCGGCCGGTACAAAATTATACCGATTACCGGGTTTTGATTGCTTATTCCTAGAATTTCGTGAGCTAATATTATTATCAGTATTTATTTATTACAAACTTGGAAGGCCTTTGCAAGTAGCCCTCCTTGACTAATTAAACACTTATGATTATACAGCTATTTCAATATACCAAGGTCGGTCCCAAAACTAAAGTATAATGGGAACAAGATATTTTATACAGTGTGAAATGTGTTATAAACCCGGGAATACCCGGAAATTGTCAAAACAAAAAGAAGCTATAGTCATAGGTTAGGTACCTAAACAGTTAAAAATATTAATTTGGTATGGGTATCTTGCTGTTCACGCGACAACCTTAATTGAAAACTGCATATTCCCTCTGGTATATTCCACTGGTATATTCCCGTGTTCAGGCCAATATATTTGTCATCAGTTCAACTGGAGTACATAGTCATGGTTGTACATTCAAGTACTATTTGCTAAGACATGCCTAGGAGTGTTTTATCATATTTAAAATGCGAGTACGCAGCACGAGCATTTTAGATATGATACAACGCGACTCAAGTGTTTTGAATAGCTTCAAACACAACCACAATAGATGCTGTCTCATTTATAGTATTCTTGCTTTGAATAAATACTAATTAGGATGGACTTTTATATAACTAAATACTAATAAAGATGTGTTGTTTAATTCCTACATCAGATATAAAGCCTCTTCATGTGACATATTATGGTTGACATGATTTGCCAATGACCATGAGCTTATTAATTAATGAGTGTTTGAAGACGTTTTAAGTCCAGGAACAGTTGCAAACACTAGGTCCTCTGGCAGGAATTGAACCTGCATCCTGGAGATTCCAGTGCAGTGCTCTAACCAACTGAGCTACAGAGTCCAGTTGTCAAGCTCTAACCACAAGTTCATGTGACCTGTTTCACAGGGGCTCATCTCCGGCACGCATGAGCAGAGGTAAGACACTGGGAACGAGGTTGAAGTTCATGTATATATAGATTTTCAGGTGTGCGGGTTGTGATAAGGGGAACTTGAGAGATGTTTTTTAGCACTTCACTTCCTACTTAGGCATGCGAGGAAGCAAGAAGTGATTAATTATGCATATTAAAGTTTCCTTAGATAGAAAGATTCTTTTATTTAACACCTGCCCTTTTTTATGTTTTAATTATCTGCATAATATATCCTATTTCTTCACACAAGTCTGTTAAACTGACTTACTTATTATCATGGCTTTTTTACCTTTTTGCTATACATCAGATGATTTTCTGATCGTCCATATTCAAGAATACAGCTCCTCTGCAGGTTAATATTATCTAGTGCAAATCCTCATTCAACCCCTCTCAAATAAGAAGTTTTAAAAGGTTTTCTCTGATATAACTTGTTGAGCCCTATTTAGCACACCTCATCTTTATTAACCCTCACCTTTTTCATTCTCACTCTTTTTTAAGCCCCCTCTCTGTTATTAAACCCCTATCTCTATTAACCTCTTACTCTTTTCAAACCCCCTTTTTATTAGTCCCCCTCTCTATTAAGAACTCTCAATTAATCCCTCTATTAACCAGCCTCCCCCCTTCTATTAAATATCTCCTCAATTAACACATTGCTCTTTCACTTCTTTCTATTAGCTCCCCTCTTTTAAGCCTGTGACTCTCTATTAAGCCCTTGTCTATTAAAACCCTACCCCCCACTATGTGGAATGAATCTCCTGAAAATCCTCATTTCCGTCACCTTCTCAGAAAAGCCGTTTGTATAATGGGAAAAATAATCCCTTCTCTATATTGCAATCTTCCCCTATCACAAAAGATAAATAAATATGTATTGATCAGATTTATTAATTCGCCTGGATTTTGCATTAGTTTACTTCCTTTTTTGGGAATGTAACTGTAACTGTAACTAGTTCCAAAAAATGAGTAACTTTTACAGCACTGGTATTACACACACTAACCCTAACCCCACCCCTAACCCCACAGTGTTACATAGTATTACATAGTGTTACACACACTAACCCTAACCCCACCCCTAACCCTACCCTACCCTAAATAAAGATAGTGTAACACTTGTAACACTGTTATCCGAGTATATACCCAATAATACACCCTAAATCATGCATCATCCAAGTATGCCTGAATTAAGGGGAAAGTGTTGAGCTTTAATGGTTTGAATATTTCTGTTCTAAGTAGCGATGATCACGGTGGCAAGATCACGACAGAACAGCTCCCACAATTTGAATCAGAACCCACAGACGAAGAACGGCGCGCAGAATGTCGGCGAGAGAAAAAACGTTGTCACGAACCAACGGACGAGGAAGACGGACCAGTAAAAGCCAAAGGTGCTGCCAAGTCAACGGACACCAGTCATGATTCGACGGCTCAATCTGGCACCGTCATGTCTACTATTAAGAAGTTAATTAAATCTGGTAAAATTTCAGTATTCATTTGTCAGTTCAACACGGTTCTTAAAGTCTTTATAAGCTCCTCTGCGCTGTTATTAACTGTTCCGGTATTGTTAGTAGCTTGTCTAGATCTGCTTCAAGAGAGCCTGCTCGCAGGCTAGTTAAAAGACTGTTGCACGCTCTTGAAAGCTGTTGTAAGTTGTTGTGAACTACTTGCCAGAATGCGAGGTACATTACGTCGTTTTCACGTCGTCTTCGACGTCCGGTCACATGTTTCCAAATCCGTCTAGTTTACTAGTGGGATGAAACGCCGATGAGAGTTGGCAGTCCCACATCATATATTCATCAAACCTTTACTTTGTCATTTAATCTAGAGCTAAAATATCCCGTGTGACAATGCCTGCCTGCCAACTCTTATCAACTTTCTTCCTCGTATTTTTCCTTGTGTTGAGCCATACGATCTCTTCTCCTTTTGCGTTCAGGTTCACTTATAGAAACGTCAATAAATAATACTCTATGTCAATCACTATACAGTACGTATAGTTGAGGTGCTTTAATAAAATTTCACAATTGTGCATTCTTTGCACAGACACAATGATCAGATGCCGGTCTTTGAAGAAAACGTCGAAACCTGATTGTGAAAGTTAAGCTTGCCAAGGCATTTTTTAATACCATGGACTGGTGGGGCATTTGCCCCACTGGGCCCCTTCCTCTGCCCCACCACTGAAGAAAAAAAATGGCCTATTGCCCCAAAGCCAGGGCCCTAAAAACATTTGTTGGTGATTATACTTAAATTTCTGTTGTGTTTGAATGTTTAGCATGCAATTTATTACAAATTTCACCATTAAAACTTTGTTTTGAGAAGCTGAGATTTTTTTTAAAATGTGTTCTCAGAAAGCAGGAAATGCTATTTCAGAGACACAGGAAATGCTATTTAACTCGTGCCTGCGGTACTCGACTCACACCTTCGGTGATTGCATACTATCCTGGGGGGGGGGGGCATGCCCCCAGACCCCCTAGCTAACTCGTGCCTGCGGTACTCGACTCACACCTTCGGTGATTGCATACTATCCTGGGAGGAGGGCAAGGAGAAAATGGGCCCTTTAGCAGTTTTGTCCCACCACTTGCTCTGTTCTATATTTTTGTTGCTAGGTCATGATGGTAGCAGAAACTATCGTCAAAAGTTCACATCCTCCACGTATAAAGATCGTATTGCTCCTGACTACATGTACCCCATGACCCATAGCAATCGTGGTAAAGCCTTTATCATAAACAACAAAACCTTCCTACCCTTGTCTGGCATGGACGAATACCCTCGCAAAGGCACAGATATCGACGCCGAAGACCTACGCAAGTTGTTTAATGATTTGGGATTTGAAACTAAAGTCTATCATAATAAAACTTCAAAAAAGATTATGAAAAAATTTGACAAATATGCTGCAATGGACCATACTAACTATGATTGCATTATTTGTGCTGTTTTGACGCACGGTAAAGAAGGGTTGATATATAGCACTGATGGCCAGATAACGATTAAAGAGTTAACAGCCAAGTTTCGATGCAAAAGCCTTCATGGTAAACCCAAGTTGTTTTTCTTTCAAGCATGTCAGGGTAAGTGTGTTTGTCAGTTGTTGTACGTTCAGAGCCTTTGAAATGTCAAACTGTTTTCAGTCATTTTTAGGTAGTTCAAGAACAAACAATGCCTGCTTATCACCTAAACTAATCCACGTTTGGGATATCTTTTTCAGGTAGTTTAGACACAAACAACGACAGCTTATTATAGAATACTACCTACACTGAACCACCACGTTTGAGATATCTTAATCGGGTTCAGACACAAACCACGGCAGCTTACTGTAGAATACTACCTGCACTGGACCACCACGTTTGAGATATCTTTTTCAGGTAGTTCAGACACAAACCACGGCAGCTTATTGTAGAATCCTACCTACACTAGACCACCACGTTTGAGATTGTCAATAATTGTCAATCACATGCTATGATAGGTGTTGAATACATGGACGGTCATGAGGAAACGGATGGAGCAGGTCAGGACAATCCATTAGATGTAGTTGATGGTCCAGGCCCTTCAGACAACAACAAAATAACACTCCCAATCGAAGCAGACTTCATGTATGCTTACTCCACCGTACCTGGTTACTATTCCTGGCGTAATTCTGAAAGAGGATCCTGGTTTGTGCAGGCGATCGTGTCTGTGTTCCGACAGAATGCCTTGACGATGGATGTCCTACGAATGATGACACTTGTCAATGCTGAAGTGGCAAAGCAAAAGTCGAACACAACTAAAGAATTCTCAAACAACAAGAAGCAAATACCGTCGATTATTTCACAGCTGAGAAAGGAGTTGTATTTCTTTCCAGATGAAGTCATGGAAGGTCAGTTTTTGAACATTTTATCTGCATGATTCGACTGCTAAGGAATATTCTTCCTCTTGGCAACTTACATTTTTGGTTAGCTTGTATACCTAGTCATCACTGTTCTGATAATGTAAGCACAGAATGGTAAAAAGGTATATAACCAAGCATTTAATTTGTTTACCCCTCGAGTAAGTTAATTGTTCAATTTAGATTACAAATTGTAATTTTTTTGTGGTTTTGTATGTACAACGTAATCTTTGTCTTGTAATGTTTTGGTGGGACTTAATAAGGGACTCATGGTCTGTTGTCCTTACCATCGATCTTTTTTATATGATTGTTAAGGAATTTCGTAAGAAAAAAGTTATATATGTGTGTGAATTGATAACTCACATGCCTAGTTACCACTGTTCTGATAATGTAAGTATAGAATGGTACAAAGGCGGATTTTCATTTATTTAAGAGGAGGGGTAGAATTCTGGTGGGGTGCAAGCGACACCATTCAGTGAGCTTCGGCAGGGGCTAGGCGTTTGGGTTAAAGCCTTTCACACAAACTAGGAAGGGTGAAGCGAAATTTTGGTGGGGTTGAACACTTTGTTAGAGTGGTCAGAGAAATTCTAGGGGGGGGGGGGGGTAACCTCCCAGTAAATCCGTCCATGATTAACCTGATATGCAATTAGCTGATAACTGGTCTAGAACATGATTGACTAGTTAATTAAAGATGGCAGCTGAGTACATGAGTTTGTAGCCGTATTTTTATATTTTACAGATGTTCATGGTGACATCACAGATGCGACCGTTCACAAAAAATGATGGTTCACACAAGAAACATTGTTGTTGAAATGATTCTTAGAAATTTGCAATGGTAGATGAATGAATGATGAAACTGACAGAATGCATGAAAGAAAAAGGTTCCTACAACATATATACACAGCAGGAGCCATCGAGGCGAAAAATAGAGAACAGCACAATGTCAGAGGTTTAGAAATAAACAACTAATGATTAACGTTTTCACTGCAACATAGTTGACAACACACATAATTTGCATGCACCGAGCGTTTTGTGACCCTTTTGTATATTGAATAAAATTATCATTGATGATGTAATGTTGTTTAACAAGAATGATGATAATTCAGATTTTGAATATTGCCTGCGTCCCTCAGTCGGCCAATGTGTTGTTTGAGAAGGTTTTCACTCGTTTCCATTGACCAAACTGACGTTACATCATTTCATCAATTTCTAAAGTTGTTTCTTTTTGGATTTTTTTTATTAATTTGGTTAGAGTTAGGGATAAGGTTAGAGTAGGGGGTAGGGTTTGGGTTAGTTACATAGCCATTTAACACCTCTAACATCTTCCGAAAATGACGTCAGGTCAGTTTGGTAGATGGGAAAATGGAAACAAGTGCTGACCATTTGAGAAGCATATCACGGCATCAGCCACTGACGTCACACGGCCCTTTAAATTTAAACGTGGCAGATTATGACACCAATAATTAATGATGCAGAATTGCGCGTCTCTCTACTGATTATAGTAAAACCTACTTAATAATTCAAGAGCTACGCGTCTAGCATACAAGATTAAAACTTTATCAAATTTAGAAAAACTGAAATAGATTTGGTAGACAATGCGGATTTTGCGGTCCCCTTGTTTGACCATATAAAGTCAAAAGAGCGATATTTGACCTTTGACGTGATTGGCTGAGAGGTTATTTGCTGACTTCCGTTTTGTTCAGAATCCTGTCTGCCCTAAATACTTCCTGTGAAAAAGCTCAAATTTGCCTCGTTGTCAGAACGATCAGTCGAAGTTTGGCACCTCAGTTTTTTTGCTCAAAAATATGTCTAGCGACGAAGAAAATTATTTTGAGAATAGCCAAGAGACTGAAGACTATAATCCCGAGAATGAGGAAGTGTCACACGTCGAAAATAACCTTCAATTAGATGATATATCGCCACAATCAGATGTCACATTTGATGCAAACGATACCCAAAATTTAGAACATCCTTCGTCGAGGTAAAGTTGCAAATTAATACCTTTAAATGATTCTAATTGTTCGACTTTAAAATAACGAGAAACAGAATGCTTTTGTAGAGTGTAAGGTTTTAAATACACGAGTGTGTAATCATTTAGTATAATTTCGCCGCAAAATGCGTTTCCCGGTACAAAATTTTATATCGGGTTGTACATTTCAGCATAGTTAAATAGTCGACCTTTTAATCTATATTGCTCAAGTTTATTTAGCCAGATATAGCTTCAAGATTAAATATAGGACGAGATAAAACGATAAAATAAATGTTGTTTGTTGTGTGTTGAGATATTCCGCAAATAAACCTGGATTCGTTAAGAATTTCTGTGACTTACATGACTAAAGTTCACAGTTTGGGTTGTATACCTCTCGAGAAAGCGATCGAATTTCGCTACTTGACCAAACCGAAAACCTTTGCCCCTTGTAGTATGGCATTACAAAACGAAGTATATTTGAGTATTTAGACAATTTCAAGGGAGCAATTATCCTTTACATATCTAACTTAGTACAATTCGGTGTTAATAAGGGGTCGATTAAATTATGTAATAAAATACAGTATGAAGAATGACAGTGATCGCTTATGTATACAATTGAAGTTTCTGTACAGTTTTTCGATCGTATGGCCTTTGTGAAGTGCCACGAAGCGAAAACAAGGGTGAAGTATTACTTTCCTGCCAAAATTCAGGTCGAAAGGTCGTTTCTTATAGATTATTACACCGCAAATATGTTTTCAACAAGTTGCGACTCGAGTATAAAATTTACATAGGGTATGTAAACTCCCAGCGCCGGTCCTGACCCTTTCGATTTGTTGGTTTTCGCATATAAGCTTTGCGTTGTTCATAGATTCTAAGGGAAATAGGAAATACATTGTTTTTGAAGCACTTCTGACAAATATAAGTATTTGGGGGCTTTTAGACAATAGTTTTTCATGTGTATTTGACTTGCAAATGTGTTGAAGGTGGTACCATGCTGATCATGCGTTACGCAATTTGTAACAGTCGAGGTTTTGTGGTGTGTTGGAGCTTTAAATATTTGGTCGAATTTCATGAATATTTTACAGTCCATCTGTCATGAGAACAATGATTTTTAATATATATTTCAGGCTTTGTTTATACTAGACTAATGCTTCTCATCCTTTGTGATTCTGGCCCTTAAACATATAAGGATATCCGATGATATACGTCAAACTACTGGCAAGCCACTTGTCAAGCTTCAAATACACTCTGATGAATTCTTGATACCTTTGCTCTTTAGCCATAGAGACCTTGTATTTTAGTATATTTTATGCATAAAGAATATTGATATTATAAATGTAATTAAATGTTCCAATTTAATGAAGTGAAGCATAAAATATATTTTGTTAAATTTGTATTAGTGTAGATAATTACAAGTGTTGTGTTGTCTTACTCAGAAATGACTTGAAAATTCCTTTATACATCAGCAAAATCTTCCACAGCTTCTTTGGAAATCTGTGGAAATTTTACCATGTACTGTTGTCTGTTGAACTGAAAAGTATGGTTAGATTATGAATATTCTTGAGTGTAGGGTTACTTGGTCTGATGTTGTAATAATTATGGATATTAATAATTATAATATTAAATTATGGATATTGAAGTTTCCTCATGAGGTAGAAAGATTCTTTTATCAAACACTTGCCCTGTTATCTGTATATCATAAACCTGTCCATAACTTCATGAAATGAAGTAGCAAACAAATTCCAAATAGAAGTTCCATCTTGAAACTTAATATTTATATTTAAGTAGAGGAAGAGGACATAATATTCAACTGACCAGCTTAACTCACCACTGACCACCTTAATTGACCAGCTTATTACCATGGCTTTTTGCTATCATTTTCTGATAGTCCATATTGTAGCTCCTCTGCAGGATATTATCTATTGCAAATCCTCATTCAACCCCCTCTGATAGAACTTACAGCATTTCAGTTACATTAATATGAAGCCCTCTCTCTTCATTCTCCCTCTCTCTTCTCTCGCCATCTCTTTTAAGCCGCCTCTCAATTATGCCTACGCTCTTTTAGTTCAGTCACTCTCTCCACGAACCTCCCTGTATTATGCACCCTCCCTGTTAAGTCCCCCTCTCCATTAGCCCCC